AGGCTCCTCTTCATATATATTTTTGCCTTTTTTGTGGTAATACACTCTGATTTGATTTTTCATGGAGGAGAGGAGAGGAGGAACTGTCTAATCTTAAAAATAGCTATCCTCTTCCTCTTAAATGTGGGCACACAGTGTTATTTATGGGAATTAAAATCTTTCTCTACTAATTATTAGAACCTATGCTCTAGTCAAGGAGAGGCTTTCTGAGCTGGGTTTTTTTTTTTTTAAAGGTTACTACTGGATTGACCCTAACCAAGGATGCACTATGGATGCTATCAAAGTATACTGTGATTTCTCTACTGGTGAAACCTGCATCCAGGCTCAACCTGAAAACATCCCAGTCAAGAACTGGTACAGAAATTCCAAGGTCAAGAAGCACACCTGGTTAGGAGAAACTATCAATGGTGGTACCCAGGTGAGGAATCTTACAAACACTCCTTCTCTAACTAAATAATATTAAAGTTGTTCACTTTTTAATGATCTGCATTTTAATCCTTTACCAAAATGGGGTTATTAAAAAGAACCTGCTCTCTTCTTGGGTTTTGGTTCTGTGCTGGACTGCACACTAAAGATGGAGTGACTGGACATATCCAGACAATCTAAAGTTATTATTCAAATTGGACTTACCTGATAATCATTGGAGAAACTAATGCCATTCAGCACGAGGAAGTGCCAGCCTGCACACTACATATGCCCATGCCTGTGTAGTCTCAGGACATGTGCTCTTCTGAATTTTTAATCAAATGATTTCACCAACTTTATTGAATGCCTACTGGTGGGAATCAGAAAGAGGTCTGACTCTGTCTCCTTGCTCTCTTATTCTAAAGAAGAAACGTACACATAAAGGCTTATCTAAAACAGGTGCCTTTTTGAGATCATCTTGCCTCAGCCTGGTAGTTGCTGTGTGCCTTCTAGGGAACTAATATTGCACAGACAAGGGAATTGAGTTTCCTTTGTAGAAACATCTTTTCCCCAAGGTTCAGATCGGAGTCCATCATTCCTCCCTACAGCAGCCTTTTTTTCCCCATCTCTTTTTTGACTCTTAGTATCTGAGTCCCTCTCCACTTAACTAGCATTTCTTATTCTCTGTAGTTTGAATATAACACTGAAGGAGTAACCACCAAGGAAATGGCCACTCAACTCGCCTTCATGCGCCTCCTGGCCAACCATGCCTCTCAGAACATCACCTACCACTGCAAGAACAGCATTGCCTACATGGATGAGGAGACTGGCAACCTGAAAAAGGCTGTCATTCTGCAAGGTTCCAATGATGTTGAACTGGTTGCCGAGGGCAACAGCAGGTTCACCTACAATGTGCTTGCGGACGGCTGCTCTGTAAGTCATAGCAACATCTGGGGAAAGGGGGGGCTGCAGTTCTAGCTCAGACCACTGCATGAACAGGTGAAGGAGAGACCTACCTTATTCAATCCATTTTCGTAAGTGTATTTATTTAAATTCAGATGGCAAGTCCAGAGGAATTCTTATCAGATCTTGCCTTCGGAAATTCTCTGAAAAGCTGAACTACATACCATGGCCGCGCATTAGCAGTTTTTCTTTAAACATGAGTTTGTTAAATGATGAGGGCTTCCTGGAACTTAAAATTACTTGAGGTTAAAAGGTCCCAAGGTATAATTTGTAGTGATATGCATGTTATTTGACTTAAGTATTGTCTGCATATAATTTGTCTCTATACTGTGCTATACATTGAAGAAAAATTAAAATTTACTCACAACATACCCACCCAGCTCTCCCTACCAAGACACACACCCCTCAAAAATGATACTGTAGCCATAAACCACTTGGAATATGTAAAAACACCCCTGCTGCTTCTGTTTCAAAGATGAACATGGTGATCTGGGATACACTTCATAATGAACACGCCCAAAAGTGGTTCTTAACTATCTCTATAGTGCTACTTTATACACACACACACACACACACACACACATATTTATATATACACACATATGTATATATATAAATACATGTTACATAACCACACATATATATACATATTTTTTATATATTCATATACATTTTTTTCTTTTTCAAACAGAAAAAGACGAATGAATGGAGAAAGACAATCATTGAATACAAAACAAATAAGCCATCCCGCCTGCCTATCCTTGATATTGCACCTTTGGACATCGGTGGTGCCGACCAAGAATTCAGGGTGGACGTTGGCCCAGTCTGTTTCAAATAAATGAACTCAACCTAAATTAAAAAAAGAAAAGAAATCTGAAAAAACTTTCTCTCTTTGCCATTTCTTTTTCTTCTTTTCTTAACTGAGAGCTGAGTCCTTCCATTTCCGCTGCACATCTACTTGCTTAAATTGTGGGCAAAAGAGAAGGAGGAGGATCGATCAGAGCATAGTGCAATATGATTTCATTCATTCCCTCCCCCACCCCCCCCAAAAAAAAGATTTGGAATTTTTTTTCAACACTCTTACAACCTGTTGTGGAAAATGTCAACCTTTGTAAGAAAACCAAAATAAAAACTGAAAAATAAAAACCATGAACATTTGCACCACTTGTGGCTTTTGAATATCTTCCACAGAGGGAAGTTAAAAACCCAAACTTCCAAAGGTTTGAAACTACCTCAAAACACTGTCCTGTGAGTGTGATCCACATCATTAGGTGCTGACCTAGACGGAGATGAGCTGAGGTACTTGTTTTGTTTTGTTCAGAATACAAAGGTGCTAATAGTATTTCAGATACTTGAAGACCGTTGATGGTGCTAGAAGAATTTGAGAAGAAATAATCCTCTGTAATGAGTTGTATTGTGTATTCTTTTTTCATCTGATTTAGCATCAGTATTTTACATCTTGTTCCCAAATAAAAGTATGCAGATTACTTGCCCAACCTTGTCCTCTTCTTTAAATTCAGCATTTGTTCTTTGCCAGTCTCATTTTCATCCTCTCCCGTGGTACCAAAAAGAAGCCTTGTTTCTCGGACAAGCAGAAAAATTAAATTGTACACACTATTTTGTATATGTGAGATGTTTAAATAAATTGTGAAAAAAATGAAATAAAGCATGTTTGGTTTTCCAAAAGAAAATATCGAGTAGAATTCCTTGCTTCAATGCTCTTTGTAATATAAATAATGGATTATAGCATCTCTACCAGCCATTAGACTGAGTGTTTCTCATTAGGTAGAAACTACGCAAAAAAGGCAATTTGGTACAGTAGAAAGAGCAGAGAGGAAGGACCCAGGAGATCTGAACTCCAGTTGTGACTACAATTGTGGCTGAGTGACCTCGACCACTTCACCTTTCTCTGTCTCAGTTCCTTACCTATAAAATGGGGGGAGATTCCCTCTCCGAACTATAAAACATTTGCCTTACTCAAAATACTAAGACTTAAGCAAATGGTATTGCAGACCTAAGTTTATTTCACGTGGAGATCCACAGAACCTTCTGGTTTGTTATCTGTTAAGCACTTTGAAACAGTGGCTGAAAGTTGGTCTATGTACAATTAATACTATTAACTAAAACAGTTTCAAATATTCAGTAACAATGCCATACACTAAAATCTGATGCAAGTGAGTACAATGCCTGTGAGGAGGTAATGTGTGTGCCGTCAATCAGCAGAGACAGCTGTGGATAATAGTACCATGAACACCTACCTGCCAAATCAAGTTCATTTTCCTCCCCTGCACCTTTCAGTGACATCTTTAATACACTTAAACATAGTAATGTGTCAAGTAAAATGTTAAGATTCATTTAGAGCTTATTTCCTGTTGCAGAACATAATTGTGATTGTAATATTTGCCTCCTGAAGTAAGTCATCTCAAGATTCAATTAATTTCAAAAGCAAAAGACTGAACATGGTGAAAACCTACCATCAGCTCTAAAAAGTCAGCAAGGTCTACTAACCAAATGGTAACTTCAGATTATGGTCTGCCCACCACCCGAATTGGAACACAGGGATGCTTTTTAAAAAGCAGATTCCTAGTTCTCAACCACCAAATTACGATTTAGTAAGGAATCCATATTCTTATGCACCTTGCAAAATTGTGTTGTACATCCACCCACTGGGAAACCACTAGATACGATGATTTCCACAGCCCTTCAAAGTTCTAACAGTTTGTATCTGGCAAGAATGAAGCAATATTCCTGACCAAATGACACAAAGAAAACAAAACCCCTGTAATCAGAATATGAGTGCTCCCGACAAATGAACTGAAATGGCCAGCGCAAACTTACGTGATAACCAGTTAGAAATCTCTGGGTTTCTTCAGTCTGTTATGCCCTCAGGTCCACAGTCCAAGAAAGCTGGCTTAAAGAAGGCTAAAGTGAAGAAGGAAGAAATCATTTCCTGAGTATAAGCTGAGAGCTAAACACTACGCTAGATGTTAATAATGCTTTGTCCAACTGAATTCAAACAGGCAACATGCATTAATAATCACTTAATCCTGAGTGTGGGATTACAGGAAATAGTTCAAAAAACAATATATATTGTATATCTGATAAGTACATACCTGCATATCTGATAAATAACAATGAGGAAATAAATGATGGTATATCCAATCAATACTAAAAAGGAATAAATAATGGTATGTCTAATAGACAGCAATAGGAAAAGAGTGAAATCTATCTTGATATCCCAATAAAATTTATGAGGATGATTAAACAACAAAAAAAATGCTTAGAATGGAATGTTATAATCTTTAAAGTATCACATTCAAGTACATTGTCATTAGAGATCTATCAAACATGCAGATCAAAATGCTAAGAGTAGGTGCATTCATGGAGGAATGATAGGAACGACTTTTATGCCTAAATTTTCCAAATTTGCTCTAATATCACCATCATTTACAACAAATTAACCCTTAAGATATAATGAAAAGAAATAAGCAGCAAACAAGTGAAAACAACCATGGCTGAGGAGTGGCCATCTCCAGGGCAAGCGTGGTCCACCTCCCACCCACTTCTCTTCTGTAAGAGAAGGAAAAACCCAGCCCCTGAGTCATCACTTACTGTGACCCGGCCACATGTTGGGGGGGGGGTGCACAAAGCTATACGTTCCAGGCGGCAGTACCCTTAGGGGGTTCCATAGTACGGCTGCAGAGAGAGAATAAAATAATGTGTGAACACAGTATTAAACAAAGTGTCCTCTGAGGATAGCAGAGGACACAATTAATGAGAAGGAATCACAGAAAATGAACCTTAGCTTCATGCAGCAACAGTGACATTTGGGTTTAGCTGGGTAGCTTTTGCCAGAGAGCTCATTTTACTTTCAAAGCCTCTATCTGGCCAGAGGCTTCTTCTTTGGAAGCCACATATTAGAACCATCTGGTACTTACCAAGCCAGGAGGTCCACTGTGAGTGTTTCCGGGGCCTGGGCCGAGCACTGAAGGCTTAACCCTTGCACGACCAGCCCCCTGTCTTTAGAGGCTAATCACCAGGCCCGAGGGACCCTGCTCACGACATTTCCTGACCCTTGGTCCCATGAAGGTCAGCCGCCTCTAACTCGTGCCAGTCTGAGAGGGAAGAAGATTGCGTATGAGAGAAGGAAGGAGCAGGTAGCCAAGATGGAGGATGAGACATTAATCAAGTCTGGTAAAAAGGGTCATTTAAAATTCTAAAATCAATACAGCTAATGCATTGGCAAAGAACAAGGACACCTCACCAATGCAGAACATATTTACTATCTTTAATGCCAAAATACTGTTTTCTGCTATTCCACTTAATATCACTGAAAAAGTTCAGAAATTGGATTATATATAAGAAAAGTTGGAAATGTCATTTTGGGTCAGAACAACAATCCATCTAGATGAGTACTTTGCCTTTGACAGTGGCACCAAGGGAAATTTGGGAGAAAGAGTGGTTGGCACTTCCTGAGAAACCAGCCTCAAAACTCCCATTTAATAACCCATTGTAAATCTTTTTTGTACACAGATGTATCTAAACCCTTCCAGAGCCCTCTATCTGTTTTGAAATATGTTGGTATTACAGTACCAACAGGAGAGAGCTAATGCTGAATTGTTAGCTTGGCTTCCTGGCCCTCTGATCAAGTAGCTAAAATGTGCTTTCTGTCCCCGTGCCTGGATCAGCCAGGGACTCAACAACTCGGTGTCCACAGGGAGCGGTGGTAACAGCAGCTTTGAGGCCATCGACAGCCCATAACGATTGACTTATCCCCACCGTTGGGCCAAATAAGCACATAATTTGTGGTCAGCATCCGAGGTTATGTGCACCACCACTACCACTGACTGGCCAAGGGCACGTGGGAAAGTCTCTTAAGTTCTGTAAGAATTTGGTGAACATGCCTGCTCTCGGAGATTTCCATTAGTGCGTCTGCTCTACCTCTAGCCCACGGCACCACTGGGAGGACCGAATGGGGCAGATGCGAATTGCTTCGTGAAGTGGGGGCAAATGTTACGTACCATCATTAGGTCCAAAATTTCCAGTCACCTCTTGAGTTAATCTCCTATCCTTGGCCCTCCAATGTACGGGGAGCAGAGTCGAAAATTTAAATTCAGTTAGCACCACTCTTCAAATTGGTAATCGATCAATTTTGAGTCATGCCTCCCCATCAGTAAAAAATGTGAGCCCTTATAATTAATTTTGTTACTCTATTTATATATAAATGTTATGCACATACTAGGTACTACAGTGCTAATATACAATGTGCAGTGTAAAACCTACATGGGGGAAAAAAAGCCTTTAAAAGAGAGAAAATAAATACAAACAGGAAATTCCATATTCCAATAGATCACTTTACACACCACCGGCATGCCCATTCCTACCCTCTATTAGAGAGACTAGTGCCCTAAACAAGGATTCATGATGGCATTCAGGGGAGGCAGAACATCAGTGAAGTCATGAAATAGGGTGTTAAATTTTGTGTGTACGTGCATTTTTCTTGGGGATGGATCCTCAACTTTTTTCAGATACCTCAAAAGGGTTCATGACCAAAAGTCATGTTATGAACTACCACACAAAGGCAGATTACTTATTTAATAAACCCTGGGCTTTCCTGAACTATGACTTTCATATCTCATTTTGGGTCTCATACCTAGAAAATGCTGCTTCTCCTGTTCTAAGGCCTGGGAGAACCAACCAGCACCGACCCACATTAAAATTGAGGTTTGGGCACCTGGGTGGGTCAATTGTTAAGCATCTGCCTTCGGCTCAGGTCATGATCCCAGAGTCCTGGGGTCGAGCCCCACATTGGGCTCCCTACTGGGCTGCAGGAAGCCTGCTTCTACCTCTCCCACTCCCCGTGCTTGTGTTCTCTCTCTCTCTGTGTCTCTCTGTCAAATAAATAATCTTTGAAAAAAAATTTAAAAAACTAAAATTGAGGTTTTTCATTCTTCCACTTCCCTGCCATGGGCCCTCTCTCCCGCATTTTAACAAGGCTTGGCAGATGCTTTACGACCCAGAGTTGGACTTTCCAATATCAAAGTGTACTTGTCCACAAACAAATAAGAACAAACAAATTCAATAATGGAGACTGATTAATGAGTTATTCTTTTTAGGTAAAATATGCATATGTTAATTTTTTTTTAAAAGAAGTTTAACCACAAAGAAATTGTAATTCCTGGTACGATAAAAGACTGTAAGGACAATAACTGGAACATGTTCTTCAGGGACCTTCAAATCCCCCCAGAACCAAATGTCTCCTTTTCATCTGGCTCTTTCTAAACAGAGCTATTATTTCCCCAAGCTATAAGAATTTTGGCCAGAATTAACAATCTTCATGGACTCTAGAAAGGCATCCTTAAAATTGCAATTCATTACATGTTTAAAGAAATTCACAAACACAAAATGCCACTAAAATGAAATTTATCTAGTGTAGCATTGCTCTTGGTGCCCAATGAATTAATTAACCATCAACAGCATGGGGGGCGGGGGGAAGCAGAAACAATTTTTTTCATGGACTCTATTAATGCTAGGCAGAATAAGAACACCTACTCATACACCACCGTGCTGAGTAGATGGCCTTTCTCTCCCTACGGGATGTCACTTTCAGTTCACTGCTCCCCCTGCTGACTGGATAATAGAACACCCCAGTCTTTGACTGTAGCCACAGGCACACTATCCAAGAAGGAAAACTCAGATTTCAGAGTTGAAAATAGAATGGCCTCCTGTGCTTATTTCCTGTCTGCCCAGACACACAGCCTTCCCTCCAGCTTCTGTGGCAGCCTACCTTCTTGTCCTCAATGCTCCCGCCTTTTTTTACCCTTTTAAATCTATCCTTAATCTCTCTCCCATGGAGCTGGTAAAATGGAAGTCACAAGTAGGCAAATGTAATCTCAAGGGGAGAACAGGAGAATGGCCTTCTGGGTGAGTAGAGCTGTCCTGTGCTACAAACGTTGCCCCAGAATGCAGTGAGTAACTCCAGGAGTGAAGCAAGGAGTCTTGGGGATTACACAGAATGGACACAACAGGATGTGACAGAAAGAACAGGGGCTTGGGTGGCAGGGCTGTCTGCCTACGAGCCCTGTCTCCACCATCTCCTCCTCTGTAAGATGGGATAACGATGAACTGCCCACCGGATGGCTGGGATTGGAAACGGGAAGGCACAGCGGCTTGGGGGTGGGTGGGCAGTGAGCAGGCAGCATCGCTGTGGCCTCGGCCCCAGTCCCCGCAAGGTTGCATCTTCCCTGCAGCCTAGAGCACCACCCTCACCCTTCCAGGAGCACCCGCTTCTCTGAGGACAGTGGCCAAACCACGAGCACATCTACAGTTCGGTGACACTTCCATTTCTCCCACGACAAATGGATTCCAGCAAACTTCCAAACCCTCACAGTTCTGGTGAATCCATCTCCACAATCCAATAAAAAAGCAAACAATGAATCATGGAACACTACATCAAAAACTAATGATGTACTATATTGTGACTAACATAACATAATAAAAAAAAGTACTGAGCTTTTATTAGAAGCCTGAAAATCTTCTCAATTTTTTATGAAGAAAAAAAAAATCCCACCTCAACAGTAAAAACACAAAGTAAAACTTCTGAAAAAAATTTTTTTTTCTAATTCAACTAGGCTCTGCCGTATGCTAATAGGTTCCTCCGATTTGGAAGACAAAGCTTTCTGAGCATAGACAACGGCACTTCGCTTGCTTGGAAGCCCGTTCTTGTACACAAATGGACTACAACTCATACATACATGTTGAATTAGCCAAACTCCTGACACTTAATTTTCACAATTCAAGTTTCTAAAACTTTGTCTCTGGCAACAGAAATTCTAACTCAAGAGTTATCAGCACAAGCGATGATCGTAATTATTAAATCCATGTCCTCGGGGAAATTTCTTGGCCTATATGAATTTACTCAAGGGCTTTAAACATCATTAAATCACCTATTATAGCCAGTGCTTTGAATGTCTATATGAGTATTATTATAAGTGGATCCTTCAAAGAAGTTGGATTATAGTCATTTCCAACATGGTTTCTCTATCCCTGATTATAGGTCTCCTCTTCCTTATAACACAAAAGTCTAAAAAAATTTAAGCCTTATCAATGTCACTAAATTAAAGTTTCCATCAACTACTTTGCTCATCATAAGATATGTTCCTAATCAAAAGAGTAAAAAAAGACTTTACTCAGATAACATCTAGAAAATTATCTATATAGCCCTTTCTCTGGGTTTATTCATAATGAATATTTATTTCTCATTAAATATTACAATATAGTATATTCACATTGGCTAATGTGAAGCTCCACATGTATTCTTAGATTATCTTCAACTAAAATGTCACAATAAACACTCACCTTGTCACCATAAATTATAAAAAGAGTCTTGCTTTTCTTCTCCCAAGCGTGGAGGGCTATCTATCAAACAGAGTACAAAGTCCACTAAATCCTTTGAACCTTTGAAGAGAGAAAGACAAATCAATGCCAAAAATGATGGGCCTTCTCACCAATACACAAATTAAACTGTGTATTTTGTAAGATTTACAGGGTAAGTGGGCTTCTTTTTATTATCACTTTTGCTAGGTATCTGTCAAGTGAGTCTAATTCAGTAAAATAGATTGATTCATTGGGGAAAACCTCTAATCTCCATTCTGGGTTGGGGGAGAAAACCATGCAGACAGTTTAGTCACCCTACACCACTCATATTATGATTTAATTGGTCTGAAATATTGTTTTAAAACTCCCTTTGTGATTGTAATATGCAGCCAGCGCGGTAAGGAAAACTATACTCGACTAATGCCACAGGGTTCTGAAACGCTCCCTTAAGATCACTGGTGAAGTTGGAAGTGGGTGCAAATGTGCCTTTTTCTAGGAAGATGGTGTGCAATACTTAAAGGTTTTCCAGAGCCCGTACAGTATCTACCTAACCGGAATTTCTGGGGGGAGTCAAGGTATCTTCATTTTCAATGACTACCACTGAGGTGATTCCCATGTATTTTCAAAGTTTGGGAACCACTGGGTTTAGTTGTGTCACTGTATTACTGACATATTCTTGGATGATTCTGTGACCCTCTCCCCGAAATGTTTAGGGCCACAGCTCTAAAATCATGGGCTCTAAGCCGCTTTAAATGAGAACATGTAATGGCTCATTGAACTCGTGAGCAATTAATTTGGGAACAGTTGCAGTATTATAAATGTGATTACTTATTGCAAACCCAATTAATCCAGTCAGGAGGAATGTTAATTACAAAGGAGTATGGAAATTAGCATGAGTGCATGACTAAATGCCTAAATTCTGACCTATTATATTGTGGTCTGGTAACTTACTTTAAAAAATACTTCCACAGGACAACTCATGTATGTATGTGTGTGTGGGCATAAGGTAACATTAGTCCACACTCCAGGGCTGATGAGTGAACTTGGAGATACCCTACTTAGGAAAACCCAAGCTTTAGAGGCGGCTGCTGTGCCATTTCAAATGGGCATTGCTGAAAGCTACATCAGGGGATATATTAATTAGCATAAAAGATGTGAAGAGTAAATTTTTATTGTTGAAATAATGGTTGTTAAGATAAATGACTACTTAATATTTAATATTAACAAAATTTGAGCTAAGCCTTGCCCTACTAGCAGCCTGCCACTTAATAATAAGATTGACAAGAAAAGACAGATAGTCCAATTGGTCTCCAACCACTAGAAGCTACCTATATTTATCTAAAACTCCTGAATCACTAAACTGGTTTAGATCAGGTTAGAAAATGACTCAAAAAAAAAATTTTTTTTTTTTTTGAGAAATGGCAGGAGATGGCCAAGAAAATAATAGGCAAAGCAAAACTGTATTTATGATTTAAAAAAAAGAAATTGCATACAATAACCATATTTCTCTTACAAGCAATGGAATATCAATCAAAACAAATCCAGACAGAGTAGAAAGCAAATGGGAAGGCTTCCAAAGCTCCCCCAAAATGATCTCTCCTAATTTGGGAACAGCTAAGATTTACTAGGTCTATGATTTTATGGCCCTTTCCCCTTCCATAACTGAAAAAATAGAAGAGGCAGATCCTTAGCCACCTGGGCCATGAGACTCCTTTTTCCTGAGAATGTAAAACTTGGAGTGGAGAATGACAGAGACTGGGAGCCACTGAAGTTGAGGCATGCTAATGACAGCACTCTAGGGGTGGCCATAAACTTCTGCCGATGAGATCATAGAACCATAGCAGGTTTTGGGTTGTGCTTTGAATTATGAAATAACCCAGTATCCTTTCACTATCTATTTCACCTAAGTTAGAGGAAAGTTGATTTCTATTACATAAAACAAAAATCTTTAACTCATACACCTAGTAAACAGATATAGAGTGAACAGCAAAAACAGAGGACTATAGGACTATCTTAGAGTAAAGAGATACTTAGAGTTAGTATAAATAAGAACCAGAAATTTAAATGGCCCGAAAACATTAACCAGAGAAAAAATATTGTAGGGAGACAGTGCCACAAAATATCTTGCAGACAAAGGTACTGATAACATTTGTTCTGGACTAACTTCTCAAGGATGTTCGTAGAGTGATAACGAACAGCCCTGAAAGAGGGAAACAGTGTCTCCTTCCAGAGTGGAGAATAGGTTACTGTCCAATGTAATAAAGATAATGTCTCCCTACAGGGCAAATGTCTGGCAGGTTTGCTTGCAGTCCACTGTAAAACATTCGGGTTCCCTATGCTTTGTGTTCCTCTGTTGTGGCGGGTCCAGCTGGGTTGCTCTGCACTGCCCCCACAGGCCCTGGGGGCAAGGGAACCGGAAGCAAACATAAAGCTTCTGTTGCTTGCCTTACTGTGAGTAACATCTCCTTTGTCTCTGATCTAGAAGTTGCATGTCTTCTGCCAGCATTTGTTAAACTGTAGCTGGCTAACATCTCAGCTTTAAAGCAGAGACAATTTCAGACCCTCCACAGCTCTTGACAAACATTTTGAAGAAAAATACATATCAGAATGGAGCTGCCTCAGATCTGTATTCCTATCTTTCAAGTTGCCTAGCAACTAGTTGGTCACCATTGATCTGACACTCTGCGGTAATGAAAGACCACACTATGTAGAAAAGTATGATGGAACTGTATACTTCAAGATCACAGAGATCACATTGTTTGATTCGTCTCCGTATCTCCTTTATCACCTAGCCTAAAACCTGATATAGACTGTATGCTCAATGATTTTATGTTGAACAAATTGTTAAATCAAAGAATTAACTAAAAAATGACTGCTGGGATATGTATGGAATTCTAACTGAGATAGTTTTAAATCTGTAGCATAAGTACTTTGCCTTGGAGTCATTCTGTTTCTTCAAGTTCACTTAATTGTGAATAATAGAGATGACTCAGGGAAGCTCATGCAGCAGGGACATAGAGTGGGAAAGGTAAACAGCTTTGCTGAAACCAGAGCTAGAAAATGCCTCTTTATTTAAGGGGGCTCTAGAGATCTCAGGAGCAGGAATTTGTGACTCTTTTCTCTGCAGCTCTCCCACTAATCTGGTTCATTCATATTCCACATGTTTGTCTTTTTAGGTCTACTATTAATTGGCAGCTTTTTTTTTTTCCCCCTTGCTACCTTAATTCCTTAGGAAGAGATTTCGGTGCAGTTCATAAATCCCCTGGCAGCCTACTAACTGATGACCTTTGAGCAGACATCCCATCAACTGTGATCATTAATGTCATGTGGTATAACACCTGGCCACCTAGGCATCAGAAGCCATGGGTGGGGTGGTTTTTCAAGAGGGCAAGGGCATGAAAGGCCATAAACAACATCTCTATTTGGAGGTATGCAGCCTGTCTATCCTCTCACTCTTTTCCTGTCACTTCTTCCTCCTGAAAAATATGTACCTTATTTCATGTGGTTTGAGTACTTTGTCTTCATATAAGAATGTAAAACACAAAAAGTTCTTAGACATTAAAAAAACACGTACCTATACCAAAAAAACTTGGGTGGTGGGGACACCACATTTTTTTTTTTCTGGAAAAAAAAAAAAAAGACAAAATGTCATTAAATATACAAAAAAAAAGTTCAACTTGTCTAATAAAGAAACAAAAAGTACAATCTTAACTGGTCAACGACTATCCTTCTTTTAAAAATAATAGTGTTTTAGCGAAAATATCAGTCTTATGTACAGCTGGCATGAGTATAAATCAGTACAAAATTTCTGGGGAGCAATTTATCAGTATGTACCAAAAGCCTTAAAAATATTTTTATACTTTTGAGCAGTTATTATTCCACACCCTGGAATGTATCCTAGGAAATGAACCCTTAATTTTTCTAAAGACTTTTGAGCAAGCAGAGTTTGTATGAAGAGTGAGACTCTAATTTTTTTCCCTTGACCAAATCTAAGCACATAGCTGTCCTCTCATGCAGCTGCCCAGAGCAACCTAAGCTTGGAGAGAGAGCACTATACTGGTGTGAAAGACAAGCCCATGAATCACAGAAGTCTTCAAACTTTGAGAAATGCCATGGCTATTTGCATCATGAAGTTGACAGAAAGAACCAGAACCCTGGAGCTCTCAAAAAAGCCACAGCAAATCCACTCTTTGAACTGGCTCGCATGCCTAAGTGCCAATCCAACCATCTGAACAGAAGGTGTCCTGGTAAGGAGTCTCCAAGAAACACCAAAAGGTTGTACTCATAAATATATGTCTGACTTCCTCCTCTTCCACTGAAGTCGATCCCCAGCTGGCTATGGTGAAATCACATTCTCCCGCCTCCTATATCCTATCAGCATGAACGTGATAGAAGGGCATAAAGGGAAGACACTACAACAGCAAAAGTACTTGCACAAAAATAATGATCGACTCTCGTATCATATCTCAGGCACAACAGTTGTCATAGCCTTATTATAGCAAAAGATTGGAAATTAACCAAATGTCTAATAATAGTGGATTGGTTAGAGTAGATATGGCACATCCAAATGATGGATTGCAATGCGGTTATGAAGAATGTTCTCCAGGAATACTTAGTGATATGGGGGGAATTAATAACTATATACTAAAATAAACAAGTAGATTACAGTGAAGTTGCCTCTCAGGCAGGAGATAGGTTTTTAAATCACGATGAAAAAAAAAAATCTTATATAGTTAACATTACCCTTGAAAATCTCCAGGTTGGAGAGCAAATACCATAACTGCATCATAGTTTTTCTTTTTAGCATTAGAATAGGTCATTGTGTCTGTGATTGAGCATCAAAGCAGCTGGTCTGAGTTTAGACCTTGTTATAGGAAAAAATATGTATTTTTAACCACTGGAGTCATGGTCACTGTAGCAAGATGCACATACCATAAAAGATACACAGGAATTGAGATACAGAGACTAAGGAAACAGTAAATTCCTATCACCCATCTCGTGCTTATTCTGGGGCATATACTTGTGAACAAAATGAAGGGGAAATTTTAAAAAATCTATTTAAATTGTTGTCCTCTCACATGCACACAGAGTAAAATTCACATAAGTTAAATGTGTGTAATGGTTATCTGTATAAAATCACTATCTTCAAGTCCAAGACTGCTTTAGAATTTTCATTTTATACAGATATGCATACATGATCCAGAAAGACTATATGCAAAAATTGAATAGCCATCATCTCTAAAGAGATGATGGGTATTGTCGGAGTTTTCTCCTCCTATTTTTCTGTATTTAAAAAAAATTTTTAAATGAACATTTATTGCTTTCATTATCAGAAAAAAATAGTGACTGTTTTTAACTGGCACTCACAAAACATAGATGCTATCTTTAAAACCAAGCCTTATTCTATTACAAATCCTTAGCAGTATATAGCATTTGATGCACAATCTCTGTATCAAAAGAACAAGCACTTGGTTAAACAAACTACTGCTAAACACGACAGAAACACGAGAACATACATGGAGTGCAGGAAGTCTCAATCAACAGAATTCTATTAGTCTACCTCAGGAAAGCAGTGTTATTAGGGACTATTGAATAGGACACAGAAGCAGCCTCCTAATATTGAACTGGACATTAAAATGTACTTGTCAAAAGAAAAAAGAAGGTTCTGTCTAGATATGGATTATGTAAATATGCAGAGTCTATAGTAAATTACGTTAGGCGATGCCTTCTGAGCTTTCCTGAATTCCTATCCTTTATGCACTTGCCTAAAATTTCATTAAAATACCTATTATAGCAATACACTCTCTGCTCCATTCATAAAAAATGCATAGATGCATTCATGTAATAAAGGAAATTTCTCACCGAAACACATATATCACTCTGGTAAGTCTGTTTTAGTGATTGGAAAAAATAAATGTCTCATAGGAGAAGGATTTAAAAGACAGGTCAGTTAAAATAGTTCTTTGATTGTGTAAAATTACTGGTCATTGATCCATTGTGTCAGATGTGAAATGAGATTAAGCTGTAAGAGTCGGTTTTAAATTCTCAGCATTAAACTGAATTAATAAATTGAGCAAAGACATGGTTCAAGTAGGATTGAAAGGTTCTGCTAAAACCAGACTGTTTAGATCCATTAGCAACACAGCTATAAAGAAAGAATATCTTATCAAAAAGGAGTGTAGGCTGTGGAAAATTAATAGAGAGTGCTAGACCCAATCTTGGTGTAGAATTACATGGAAGGGATTAGGAAGTGAGGGGAAGGTAATTAAGTAGAAAGAACAGCCGGAAAGAACTGAAAAGCGAAAGATCAGATGGTCTGAGGTTGAGCCCCTCACCATCTGTTGGCAATCATCAAAATTTATTTGATCTTATTGTGTATTTACTTTGTCAAAGGGGGGGTACTCATTCTAATGAATGAATAGGTGGGATACAAGGTGAATGCCCATTATAACAGACCTCATTATTGCTGGAGTAAAATCATTGCAGTTGCAACATAACAAATACAATTAATGCAACCTGATTGTTCCATCTTTGTTCATGTCTCTCACATCAGCTTCATAAAAAGGTTCTTATGCTTTCCTGGCCTTTTGTGATTTAGTTGGAGGGTTTTGTCTGTAATTTTACTGTCATTGTTTATTGTATGTCTGTCTATACAATTTGCTCTTGTAAAATTTCTGAGTGACTGCATGTCTCCATTAGGAAAGTAGGTCAACCAGCTACTTATGTTTCCCCCTTCTCAACACCATCAGCACCTGTGATTTCAATATCAGTTATACAAAGAAGAAAATTTAATTCTTTCCTCGACTTTACCTCTGGCCTCTATATTCACTCAACTACCAAATCCTTCTGAATGTTTTTCCGACATGCTTTCCTTTTCAAAAATTTTGGTGCTTCCTCTCATTCCCCCCCCTCCCATATTGCAACTTGAGGCTTTCATGGTCTCTCACCTTAAGTGCTACCTGTCTCTCTTTCTGTCTCCCTCAAATCCATCTGCTATCACACAGAGAAAATACAAATCTGACCTTTCAATCTCCTGTTAAGAGATTTCTGTTTCCACATCACTTACAGGATAAAGTCAAAAGGCATCTGTGTGGTATATGAACCCCTTCACTATGGTGTCCCCTGACAATTCCACCTCTCTAGCTCTGCTCTCCCATCTCATAGTTTATACCCTTCAGCAAAACCAGAGTGATTTATAAAGCAACTACTAATAAATAATTAAGGAATTTTTATTATAATCAACCCATGATATGCCTCAGGGATGAGTATTTTCATTCATTCTTTATGCCTGTGCCATGCATTACTATTTTAAAATTAGCTGCTTGGGTTTTCAAGTGCAAGCCTTACAAGTAAGGCAGAAAGGACGACGACACTGCCAGCTGTCACACAAGAGCGTCAGGACAAGAGGTCTCAGCAGAGCTCGGCAAGACTAGCAGATACATCATCGTATCTCCGGACACATATTAGTATTGCCCACCAGTCGAGCAGTGTGCAGCCACACAGGAGAGTTATATATTTTCCTTTATTAAAAAATGATTGAAACAGTGTCGTTCTTTGTCTAGTATCATCTTTCACATACCTAGCAACACACTTTTAACATGCCGGATATTTGAAAGCTTTATCAGAAAAGGCTGGCTGCCTCAAATCAAGGGTTTTATTTAATTTAGCTCTGAAGTTGCTGGAGGAAAATAAATTGATGTCAGGTTTTTAATTTTAAAGTTACATTTGCATTGCAGATGGACTATTTAACAGTTCACATAATCAATAAAATTACTGCTGAGGCACAGGATGCGTTAATGAGACTCTCATATCTGAGTAAGTTGTTTCCTTCTGAAAAGTCAAATCATGTTTGTTTGCTTGTGTAAGTTTGTTAATTATAAGAAATCACCTTCTTTCAATGGAAAAATAGCTAACTGTTTCCACAAGGTACTTGGCTCCTTGCACATGATAGGGATTAACATTATCTTGATAAGTAGAGATATTCCACCCCACACCCCCTACCCTAGAAAAGAATGTGCAGATCCAAATTTGTGTAAATGGTTTTAAAATGCTGATTCATTACTGTGCCAAATGCCAGAGAAGAAATAATTTTAAATGTCTTGAGTATTCCACATATCTACAAATAGGATGAAATAAACACTGGGCTAGTTAAAAGTAATGCTACATTTTTTAAACATTTAATTTTCTTTTCAGAAAGAAAAGATGAGAACTGTTTCTGTTCTGTTACTGAGCAGTTTTAAACTACATATTTTAACAACTTTACTGAAGCATCATCAACACAATAAACTGAACATACTTAAAGTATAAAATTCAATGTATATATTTGATATATATGGATAGACTTTATTATTTCTAGTTAAGAAGTCAGAAAGATAAGAAAACTATCGACTATATTCATAGAAATACAATCACCATTAAACCTTTAAAACACTGCCCTTCCAAGTTTAAAAAATCTATTCATATATATGTTTGAATAAAATAGATATATGCTTCTACTTCTACCAAACCACTATACTGCATATGTTCCCTCGTTTAACTATTAAATTTTCATGAATATTTTCCATGTCTTTCCTGATCGTCCTAAAGATGATCTTCAGTAATACAA